GTACTCATTAATTAATTAATTAATCGCATCACAAGTTATAAAAAAAAAAAGAACTATTAATTAAATATAATAATTTAAATTCAGTCAGATACTAGTCAAACTATCGCATTAAGAAAGAAATATTTGGAGGCGGATAACATTATTCTTAATCAAAATACAAGCTCTTCTTTCTTTTGCAAACATTTTTTCTTAAAACAAAACATTTTCAACCAAAAAAAAAAAAAAAGGAAAGAAAAGTAAAAGTACCAAAGCACACTGAAGTCTCAAATATAAGTTTTTGAGAATAATAGAAAACAAAAATTGCAAAATCTTTGATATGACATTTAAGGAAAATTCACACTATTCAGAGATGGATATGAGTATTGGTATAAAAGATCAGAGTTTGAAATTGTGCAGACCAATCTTAAAGCCAACACTCTTCAGTTCATGCTGCACTTGAGCTCGAAACTGGGCATAAGTGAAGGGCTTGTAGTTGGAGCTCTCAATCACAACATCATCTCCTGGGAATACAAAATACCCCACAGATATTCTCTCATTTTCTTCGTTCACTTTCACCCTGTGCTTTACACTAACATACTTGTCATCACTAATCGCCTGCAAATCATGCATCAACCATATAAGTTCAAACAAAATAATGCACATTTACTGTACTCGTTGACAATTTTGAAGTAAAAACAGAACATCATATCAACCACACGTTAAAATGAAACTAAACCTGGATCATATCTCCAATGTTGACAATGAGGGTGTTGGGGATAGGGTTGACTTGGATCCATTGATGATCCTTGTAGACTTGAAGCCCTCCAACAAGATCTTGGTGCAAGATTGAGAGGAGTGAACTATCAGTGTGCACGTCTATACCCCATGCCCGATTAGCCTCCAAACATCGAGGGTATCGATATACACGTAATATTCCAGTATCTTCTGACAAATACCTTGTTGCACATGATTCCTCGTATTTTTTTGACAACTTTAACGTTCCCAATTCTACTTTCCTCCACAATGCTTCGTATATTGCCTTCCCCACCCTAGCTTGATGCTTTCCATATTCTTCTACCAAGGATCTACACCCAAAATTACAAACAAATATGATATATTTACACAGTAATTTTTTTACATGTCATGATTTTGTTGGTAAAAAAAACAGTAACCCACACTTTTTTCTACATTAATAAGAGCAAACCACTTGAGTAAAAATGGAATAGAAAATGAGGGTGCATGTAAGATTACTTAAATATTAAATAGATCACTAAACTTATAACACTTATGCAATTGAGCCACGTTGAACTTGAACGTGTGCAATTAAATTATTAAACAAATAAAATATGTGCATTTGAGACTTAAAAAATTATTCCCGATGTAATTTGAGTTAAAATTATTTGAATTTTTACTCCCAATTAACATGGTAAATGAAAAGAAATTTTTTTAGTACGTATCATGTAAGTAATATAACTTTAATTTCTCACCCAAAAAAAAATGTAAGTAATGTAACTAAATTATATTCTACCAAAAATAAATGTCCGAATTACACATATTTTACATGTTCATTGATTTAATTATATAAATTTTATGTTTAATGACTCAAATTATATAAAAATGATAAGTCCGATGACTTATTTTACTTTTTTTTTTTCTATTTAAAATGACAAAATTTACTGGATAGAGCTAAAATTAATGGGAACACATATCATATCTATGCCTAAAAGCTCAATTTATTTATAGTGAAATGGCTATGACAAGATGGAATCTACCTATAAAATAAAATATTGATCCTAATAAGACAATAAAATAAAGCTTTATTCATGAAGAGACAAAGTTATTGTAGGCTCACTTTTAGGCTGTGTGTATGGTTAATGTTACTGTGGAAAAAGGAAATGATTATTTTCTGACATTTTTTTCAAAATCTTTTAGCCTTCCTAGATAAAATCATTAGTTAATTGAGTCTCAACTATTAGAACCAATGCCTAAATTAAGAAAAATCATTAGTCAATAACCAAATTAGATATTAACCATTATAGTCGATGATAAATTCAGATAAAATCACTATAATCGAATACTAAATTAGATATTAATAAAAAAAAAACAAATTATATTTACAAAAGACTTAATTAGGTAAAATCATAGAAGTTGATAACTCAATTAAATAAAAAAAAATTAAAACTAAATCAAACTAAACTATTATAGTCAATAATAACTAAATACTCAAAATATAATGAACTATTAACTTCTAACTGTTGGGTAATATGGTTGAAAATTCCCAAAAATAATAATCCTACGAAAAGATTAATATTATATGGGAAAACAGAAAGAGTTGGGAAGGAAAAGGTTGAGTGTTTGGGTAAAGGTTTAGCACGAGTTCGAACACAAAGTTCTTTTCCTTAAAACCTTATTTGCTACCTCCCACAAGTGCTAGGAGCGTTGTAGCCTAGGTTTCCCAGGATAAAACGTGCTACGATTCCTTGTTTAAGCACCTAAACAAGGAACCCGTTGAACAAAGCAAAGCTTGGAACACAGGTTGGCTAAAGAAGAGAGTAGAAGCAGAGTTTTTTTGAGAGAATAAAGCTACTGGAATTCCTTTGTTTCTTTTATGTGTAAAATGATACTGCTTCTACCTCTCTTTATATAGGGATGTTGGAGTGATAGCATTCAACATGGCCATTAAATTGGTATTAAAACCAATTGTGTAACACCTGTAACGGTCACCACTAAGTAGGATTAAACTCAGAATTTAAAAATTGGAATTAAAACAGTATTAATTCCGTAACAGATGAGTTTAATCTTCTGCACTTTCGGGTTTCAGACCGTTGGGGTGCATACACCTCTCGTGTTCACCGTTGCACGAGAGTTTTGCTCTCGGTGCACCACAACCTCTCGTGCTCTCTGTAGCACGAGAGTGGTGTTTTCGGTTTTGACCAAGTGACTATAACAGATGGAAAATGATACCGAAGTTAGGCATAACTTATGCCCGCAGGTGCCGGCGCACGCGAGCTCGAACTTGATTTCAAGCCTTTTTGATGTCCTCTAGTTGGATTTTGATTTGCACCCCCCCCCCCCCCCCCCGCGCGAGAGAGCCTCTATGCTATACAATTCTACAAGCTTGAAAAGAGCTCATGTATATAAGGGGGGCAAATCTTGTTTCCAAATCAATGTGGGACAAAGTCCTACATTTTCCTTTCATTTCCCAACTTAAATGGGTCTACTTTGAGAATCAATATCTCATTCACCCATTATCCGTTTTGAGCGTACAATATATCAATCTCTTCGTCTTACTACGAAGAATCCGAATCCACTTTGACCCGACCCAAATCGGAAGTGGACCCCACTGATAATTGTACCACAAAATAGCCATTTAATATACTATTTTATGCCACTTTAAGCTAATTTTTTCAACATTAACTAATAAAAATTAAATTAAAGTACATTTTTCCCTACATAATAGCATGAAAAATAATACAGTAGACTAAAGCAAGGTTGCACTAAAGTATATGATAATGATAATGTCATTTCAACTCACTTCTTCTTTAATTACTTGGATAAACCTTGGGCAATTGATTCCACCGCCAATAATGTCAATTTCGAAAAATACAATTATTCTAAGGTACGACGTAACATTATTATATATGTACTAAAATATTATTTATTATTAAAAATTAATTCTCCATTCCCCGTAGCTTTCGCTACTGTCTTTTTCCCAGTCTTTTTCCTTGTGAAAAATTCAGTGATTTGAAGGATCAATGGATTTCACACGTGAAAAGGAAGTTAACGGAGAAGAAAATATGAGAGCGACAATTCCAACTAAATTGATTTGTTGACTTTGGTAACAATAAAATTTTAAGTTTGATTCCTATTGATATTTATTTATATGTTTTATTAGTTTAAACCGATTAACTATGATAATCTAGACTAATATTATCATATGAGTTTATTGTATACTTTCAAGTTGTGATTATAATTTTTTTGGTCATTAAAAAAATATCTTCATCTCTTAAAAGAGGTTGGGTATTCGAACCCTCTCTCGTATAAAAAAATCAATTTGGCCAATACTTTATCTCTTAATTGGACAGGCCATCCGGCCCGATACGAATGAGAATTAGTTTGGACAAATTATTGTGTTGGCCCGGTGTGATTATTTGATAGTATATAAAATAATATACTTTTTATTTATGGTCAACACAACTATATGAAGCATAGTTTACACAATAATGATTATTATAGTACTATATTACGGGTTTACAATTAGGTTCTCCTAAAGACACTTTGTGGTGTACTAAAAATAAAATATCATGAGGGGTGGGGTGGGAGTGGTGGGCCATGTTTGGATGCGTTGTTGGAATTTGCTAAGCCATTAACAAGGCGATAGCTGAGCTTAGTGAGAGAAGTGTCGACCATGAAATTAGCCAATTTGCCACTTTTCTCCATGATTAAAGTTGAACCTCACTGATTTAACTAACTGTCAAGTGGAACAATTATTGTCTAATTGGTTTTCTTAAATCTTAAATTCTACGAGTCAAACATCATAAAGAAGTTACCTAATTTAATCAGATAAAGTGAAAAGCTGACCTGAAAGATTCGATCATCGGATCTTCGTAATGAAGCTGCGAAACTTTGCTTAGCGGAATGTTGAGCCCTTCCATCCAATGGAGGTTGCTGGAGGCCAGCGCCGCCCCTGACGGCGTCACCGCCGGCGTGCCCCAGAAGTAGGATATGGCGGGCGCCGCCGCCCCCGCGGCGGCGCTATTGAACGCTCCCTGCTTGGCCTCGTAGGCCATGGAAAACAACTCCCTCGCACGTTCCAACATTTGACTCATCAAACTTTCGGGGATTCCGTGGTTCACCAACCTGAACAAACCCCATTCTCTGCATGCCTCTGTTACCTTTTCCTCGTCCTTCTTCATGCACTCAAAATCTATGACGGGAACGCCGTCTCCTTCCGCCGCCGCCGCCGCCTCCATTTCCGGCGAGCCTTTCTCAACGCCGCCGTGGTTTGGGTTGACAGACGACGACGGACGAAACAGCGGCGGGTAGGATTCGTAGTCTGGCTTCTGCGACATGTTTTTTTCTCTCTGTTTTTTTTTTTTTGGTGTTCGATCTACGAGGTAATAAAATACACAAACACGACCAGGTGTGAAAACACTCTCTCAGTCTCCACCAATTTTAATGGCGTTCCCACCCATATTACTGGGCTTAAATAAGTTTAATTTATAGTGTTCATCAGCATACACTATTACGTGCAATATAATGGGCCACCGCGAAATAATTACATATGACAAATACAAAAAGGTCCACACTGCATTCAACATAAAATAAATAAATAAATTTTATATACAGTTTGTGTAACTGATGGCCCGATCGATACAATGTTACACCCCACCCAAATATGGGAAATTAGAGAGTGGTATTAATTTGGTAGTTGGGGACTTGCCGACTTGGGGTTGAGCTAGTGTTTGCGATGGCGGATGGAGTTAAGATTTTAAGTTAAGTATTTATTATTGGTGTTCTTATTGAATTGATTTGGAGCAGTATTGTAAAAATGGGTCTAGAATGTCATTTACGTGTCAACTAGATGCTAGGTGCCCCTAAGTCGAGGTGATTTCAGCCCTAGACGACTTTTAGTCGACTGATTGACTAAGTGGCCGACTCGGCTGAGTTGAGCGCCTAACTCAGCCGAGTCGGTGTACACACCAAGTTGGCCAAATTGACGTTCAACTCGGGCGAGTGGTTTTTTTAGCCTGCTCGGCTACTCCTCTACTGTATTTCTCACGTCATTTAATCAACTAATCATCTAACATATGCAATTGACTAGTTTGGAAGATTATAACAGTCTAACAACTCATAGCGCCTAGGTGCCCCGGATTCCCAATTAGCGCCTTTTGTAACATTGGTTTGGAGTGAGACCGAATGCTGCCTGACTGCCTAGGTGCCCCGGATTCCTGATTAGTGCCTAGCGCATTTTGCAACATTGGTTTGGAGTGAGATCGAATGTTGCCCATAGGTGTCTGGTGTGAAATCCTTCAGAAATGAGAGATGAATTAAATTTTCAGGGTTCAATCTTGTGACCTTCTCTCACGAAAAGTTAAAGAGGTGTCATCTGAGCACAAGGTGTTTGACAGGCTATCAACTTTAATTTAGTACTCGTAAAAAACAAAGATAAAATACGTCTAAATAAAATTGAGAAGATAACACCAATGAAATATGCAAAAATGCAAAAAGTCAAAGATAAGTGACTGATATTTCAACAACAATGATTTATTGTAAGAGGAAATGATTATGGATACCGAAGGGATCGGACCTCAACACAATGATTGGAACAAATTTATGTGTGTCAAAATCTTTGGACGTGTTCTATCGTGGTCCTTAGTTGCAATGTCCTTTTAGCTAGCTAATAGTAATAGGAACGTATTTAAGATGTCGTCATTCCTTTCACAATATGTGCAAGTTGTTATTAGCCTGGATGGCTTGTGTTACGCCTCTCATCAGGACTCAAAATATCAACACCACCACCACCCTAATAAAATTGAATGGTCCTAGACTCCTAGTCAAGTATCTCATGCAATGGATCGGATTTTTTTAGTGTGATTTATCTCTGTTATATGATTTGCTGCTTATTATATAGGAGTGATGTTTATTAGTGTACGTATTCAAGTAATGGTCACAATTTTTTCCCATCATCTAAAAAATTTTGAGTGGTCCATGATAGGCAATATATCACGGACTACCGATCCTTTTGTACTAAGCACCTGATCGGATCCGACTCCCCGTGTGGCGGGGGTCTCTTCCCGACCTAATGGGAGTACTTGACCAACCTGACCTGTAGGTTGGGTATCTAATTAGCTTAATGAGCTTCTACTCTTAGCTTTTGGTGCTCGGTCCCGACCCGAGTGCCCAGCTAGGCCCCGAGCCCATGTGATTAGCCCTTAAAGATGAATATCAACAATAATGCTTGAATAAAGCTCGGTGGTCATTGACCAATAAGATATTCCTCTACACGTGATCACTTCTCCCTCGCCTCTGGGATCGTCGAGTATATGAGGACACGTGTCACACATCGACATGTGTCTCCTCTCGCCTCCTACAAATACCACATTTAGTGCTCGTGGAAAGCAACTTTTTTCTCAATTCTCTCACTAGCTAGATTACTTACCTGCTCGGAAACCTTCGACTCTTGGTCTCAGTTGCCCCGAGTTAATACACTACGATCAGTCACGCTAATCCATATATCCAAATACATGTTGCATAACGACATACAAATACGCATGCCCGAGAGTATTTAATTACAACATCTCAGTCCATATACGCATATATAAAACAGACACAATCACTAATTACTTGACGTGGTAAAGGGATGCAACGCTGAGCCAGAAGATTTTGGCTCTTGCGACATAGTCGTCATTAACATTCATATACAGTTGATGCAGTATTATTTATTGGTAAAACAACAATAATGTATTCTTCCCTCTTAACCCATTGGGTGTGCACTGGATTAAGAGGAAAAAATACATTGTTGTTTTAAAGTTTTTTTTTTTTTTTTTTTTTTTGTAAATGGTTTATAATTTTTTTTTTTTCAAGTTTGTAGTAAGTGAAGAAAAAAGCACGAGTTTCTTGAATTTTAATAGAATTACAAGCCACAAAGCTACATGCAAATTAAATGTTTAAAAATTTTGAAATCTTAAATCTATTTTTCGAGACGGTGTAAATAACGATTGTGTTAAGTGTATTTTCAATTCATCTAAAAGATAAATTCTTCCCAAACATCTAGAAGATAATTGAAAATGTGAATTGTGACTATAGTCTTATTTGTAATTTTTACAAGTTGAAAATGCATACCTTTTTATTTAAAATTAAAGTTATAGTATTTTATTGAATCTTAAAGGTCCGTTTGGAAAGCAGGAAAATGACTTCTGGAAAATGTTTTCCGGAAAATGAGTCATTTTCCGGAAAACGTTTTCCTTTCTCGTGTTTGGCTGCACAATAGAAAACTGTCTTTGTCTGTTTGGCTCATTTTCTGGAAAATGATGTAAAATTGTATAATTAAACATTTTATATAATTAATTATTTTGTTTAAAATATATTAAATTTACAATAATATTATAAATAATAATAATAATATTAAAGTTACAATAATAATAATAATAATAATATTAAATTTACAATAATAACAATAATGTTTACTAAAAAAATTTTAAAAAATAACAAAAAAAAAAAAAAAAAACGAAAACCAGAGAGTAAAACTCTCTGGTTTTCCGCCGTTCTCTCTGGTTTCGTCGGAAACCAGAGAACAGTACTTGCTCTCTGGTTTCCGGCGGAAACCAGAGAACAGTATTTGGGGGGAATTCAGTGTTAGTTGTTGCTGTAGACAGAGATGATGGTGATTGTTGTTGTAGACAGACGAAGGTGGTTGTTGTTGTAGGCCAAAGAAGTCTTCCGGAAAATGACTTCCCCCAAAAAAAAGAGGAAGTCATTTTCCGGAAAATTGAGCTCATTTTCCATTGACCATGTCTCATTTTCCTTTTGACTTCTCATTTTCCAGCCTAGCCAAACACCAAAAACCCGGAAAATGATTTCCAGAAATCATTTTCCGGGTTTCCAAACACACCCTAAATTTCACAAGAAAATTATGAATTGGAAAAAAATATTACATTAATATTAATATAATATTAATATCACATAACTTAGTCTCCTACTCCGATCCGCTCTGGTTGTTTGTGCATTAATATAAGATATACCATTCATTTCAATCAACTATTACACCAACAAGGGTCTAATTTTATTGACTTTTATTAGATTTGTAGAAGATATAATTTATCTGATGCACATTTTTAAACCCTGAATGCAAGCATCCCTTATCACCCAATAATAAAGGCATTTCAAAAATAGTTAATATTTTGTTGTCACTTATGATCTTTCTAGTAAATTATGTGGCCGGTTAAGAACCGCCAATAATGTAAATTATTATGATTATATATCAAAGTTAGGTATTCCATTAACAAACGTTAATGAAGATAAAAGATTGTGACAATACCCAAACAATGAAATAAGCTATTCATATATATTCATTATTGAGTTAATACCCAAAATCGTCCTCGACTATAGTGGTTTTTTTCAATTTCGTCCTAAACGACTTTGGTGACCTAATATCGTCCCAGACTTTTGTGTTTTGCGCAATTTTGTCCCAGACTTTTGTGCTTTTGCTCAATTTAGTCCATCATTTGTTATTCTGTCCATTTGGTGTTAAATAAATAGACAATTAAGTAATTTTAATATTGGCATCTCTTTACTCATAAACATGTGAACTGCGAAATCCCCTTTTTTTTTTACGAATTACTCCTAAAACTGGGAATATAAAATTTGATTTGCAGGTCCGGGAGTAATTCTTGGTGTAATTCGTACAAGACAGATGAATTTCGCACTTCACAAGTTGAAAGTAAAGAAAGATCAATATTGACATTACTGAATTGTCCTTTTATTTAATACCAATTTGACGGAATAACAAATGGAGGATGAAATTGAGCGAAACACAAAAGTCTGGGACGCTATTAGGTCACCAAAGTCGTTTAGGACGAAATTGAGAAAAACCACTATAGTCGAGGACGATTTTGGGTATTAACTCATTCATTATTCATGAATGAATAGTTTGAGTTGGATAATAATAATAGATTGGAATTGGAGGCGAACCCACCCTTATTCTTGGAGAGCGACGCTTCAGGGAGATGGGCTTTCGAATTGTATTGATTTTTGTATGTAATGATTGAGCACCACCATTCACCAATGAAATAATTTGGCATGATTTTTAAGATAAAGTAGTTGGAGTTTCAATTTTGGTTCTGTGGACCAAGAAACGAGGAAGAGGAATCTGGGGAATAAACTGGGAATTGGGGGAAATCTTTGGTCTCTCCTGATTCTGGTGACCAGACATTTGATCATAATTATCCAAACTGGCAAAATCGCGATTCAGACTGAATCTGGTCAAGCCTTTATCTCCTCCTTTATTTTGCATACTATCTGTCCAGTCTAACTATCAACTCAAAATTTTAATTATGGTGAACACATCTTTCAATTTAGTATTAGAATAATGTGTTCTCGTTTAATTGTCACATCCTTCAATTACATAAGTTAATTCTTTCGTATGAGATAAAACAAACAATTACACTAACATTTTTTTAAATCAAGTTAAGATTTAACTTTAACCTCTTATTAGGTTTGTAAACATAGTGTTAGTTGTTTATCTAAAAATAAATAAATGAATAGACAATTGGTAGATGGTTCTTGATTCTTGAATGGGCAATGGAAAATTAAAATAAATAAATGAATAGATAATTGATAGGTGGTTCTTGATTCTTGAATGGGCAAGGGACAAGGGTTCCTTTGCCCTCAATTATTGTATTCTTTTTCTCTCTCTTTTTTTTTTTAATAACAAGAGAAACTCATTGATAGTATTTGATGGTATTTATAGGATAAACTCATTTTTTTACAAATTACGTAAGAAAGATAAGGCGTACTCGAATGATTCTATGTGATAACTTGATCAAGAAAATATAAACTAGAATTCAACTCATAATCTTTAAATTATAGAAGTTATACTCTATTTATTTGGGCATGCGTTTTGGTATTCAATTATTGGATTATGACCATTGGAAATGGAAGCCGACTTATTGAAGTGTAGGAGTGGTGGTTTATGGGCGTATGGCCGGCCGTGGGTACAAGAATAAATGCCAATTATTTGTGTTTGATATATAGCCCAAGTTTTTACGTGTTGGTACATGAAAACGAAATAAGATGGCAAGGGCCAAGGCGAAACGATAATGACGATACATTACATTATCCCACTGCTCCCATCCCTACCGCACTCTCCATTTCCTCTTCTATTATGTACTAATAATTGTGATTTTTGTTTTTATTGAATATGGAGGTCTCAAATGATATGGTTTTTATTTTGTTACTCCGTTATCAGGTCCGTTAATTTACGAATAGTTAATAATGCTAATACTTATTATAAGTAATTATAGAGTATATTATTGTCGGTAAATTATAATTTTTTACTATGGGGTGGAGGGAAAAGTGATTGAGTTCATCCCATTAACACTTAGTTAGAGTGTGTTTGGTTCATGAGTTTACACCTTAACAATAAGAATCAAAATCATAGTTAGTGTTTGGTAGATAATTTTTTAAACACAACTATGTGATTTAATAACCCTTTTAAATAATCTCATTCCCTAATTTAAAAAGGGTATCATTCCATCTTGTGTAATCTAATTTTTAAGTTAGGATTAGTACTTTTAGATTTTTGTTTGTTCATATTGATGCTTTGGATGCTATTATATTAGGATCAATTTTCTTGATTTTTTTATTTTTAAAACCTTTATTCCCATTATAGGATCATACATAACCCAACATTAATATTGATAATCATTTCAATTCCACCTTACTACCAAACATTCACAGAAACCCATCTTATCTTATCTTACTCTATATAATAGCAAAATGTTTTTTGCCAATCAATTTCCCGCCTAAATGAAATTGCATCATTTTAAGGTATATAATGCATCATACTTATCTATTTTCAATACATGTTAATCTACAATTATTGTTATTTAATGATGAAGCAGGTAATACATTCTAGTATTTTTAAGTTAACATTTTATTATATAAATTAATTTATTGTTTACTGGAAAAAAAATAGAGTATCTAATTTTAAAAAATAAGATTAACCTGTTTTTTTATTCTTACAATTTTGTTGATCGACAACAATTTAATTGTTCATTCTAATATAGTTTTGAGAGGGAAAATTAAAAAAAAAAAGTTACTAAATCAGTTTCTAAATTGAAAAAAAGTTTTTTAAAATTTAAATCAGTTGCATGAATAATAATATTGGAGAGACGAATAAGTTTAAACAAAATAATTATTGAACTGATATTAAGTAATTAGAAAATATGATGTATTTCTTAATTTCGTTTTAAACAATAAGTTTTACACGAAGATGATACTATATTTATTAGTTTGTTTTAGATTTGCTCCGGTCACCCGATTTTTCAGATTGGCATTTGGGGAAGAAAGCAATTCCACAATGGCCAAAAGCTACGGTCAGATTATCTGAAAAGTTTTTTAGCAGTGGATTACTTGGATGTGCGATGATTTAAAATCGAGTGTGTCAAGACGCCAGAAACAGAGAAGGTTCGTGTAAGTCAGTGAACATTTTAGAGAGAGACGAACGCAACAGAGTAGACAGAAGCGCAATCGTCAAAAAATATGGATTAGGGTTTGGTAATGAGGTTTTATAATTGGGTTAATGGGCTTGGGTATTGGGCTAAAATGCAACGTAACTGGGTTATATGGATAGATAATTAAATGTTTATTGGGCTTAGCATTGCAGGTTTTATTTTTTCTTTAATGTCATAAAATATTTCATATTTAGTTTAGATTTATATATGTTGTACGTATATAATTATTATTATTAAGCAATGTTTAAGAAAAGATTTTCGTAGTTAGTTTCAATGTATGATGATGATACTGTATTTTTTATTTATATATTGTCAATTATATGTACTATAGGCTTTAATTGCAAATCATATTAATAAATGTTTTTATATATAAGAAAATTTAATTTCATAATTTTTTAATTGTATATTGTTTGATTTCTTAATTTTTAAATTTTTTTTATAAAAATGTGTGTGTGTGTGTATATATATATATATATATATATATATATATATATATATATATATATATATACTTATTTTAATGTACACTTTTTAAATCTCATGTGGTATGTTATAACACAATTCTTTATAATATATGCTAACAATATGTGATGTTCGATATAACAACCAATTTAGTATTATTAAAGAAAAATACATTTCAGAATAAGTTTTAATTTCATGATTAATATTTTATTTTATTATTTTTAAAATATTATCAATAATAAAGTTACTTAAATTTTATGTCGTGCATCGCACGGGGCAAAAACTAGTTACTATTATAAAGTATTTAATTCTCATCTCGATTTTAATTCCCAGTGAACCAAATACACCCTTAGTTTGGTAGGAGAGGTTGATATGAGTTGATGAGTTCCACTTGAAAACCTTGTCTAGTGAGGCTTAGTCCAACACAACAGTCAATTGGTTGGGAGAGGTCATCTTGAGTTCTACTAAAAAACGCAGTCTGTATAACTTCTCACAATATTCTGTTGGGTCGGAGTGTGGGGAACTCTTAAAGTTGGGAACTCAACTTTTTTGGGAGAGGAAAAAATGCTGGTCCATTAATTCTTAATCCAATACAATTATTAAAAGATATTAATACACCTACAAGGTATGAGATTGTTTGGCCACTAGGAAATTCGCATAGTTTGTTAACCATTAAGTTTAGAGTTAATACCCAAAATCGTCTTCGACTATAGTGGTTTTTCTCAATTTCGTCCTAAACGACTTTGGTGACCTAATATCGTCCCAGACTTTTGTGTTTCGCTCAATTTAGTCATCCATTTGTTATTCCGTCAAATTGGTGTTAAATAAAGGGACAATTCAGTAATGTCAATATTGATCTCTCTTTACTTTCAACTTGTGAAGTGCGAAATTTCTCTTTCTTGTACGAATTACACCTAGAATTACTCCCGGACCTGCAAATCAAATTTTATATTCGCAGTTTTAGGAGTAATTCTGGGGGTAATTCGTAAAAAAAAAAAAAAGGATTTCGCAGTTCACATGTCTATGAGTAAAGAGATGCCAATATTAAAATTACTGAATTGTCTATTTATTTAACACCAAATTGACAGAATAACAAATTAGGGACTAAATTGAGAAAAACACAAAAGTCTGGGACTAAATTGAGCGAAACACAAAAGTCTGGGACGATATTAGGTCACCAAAGTCGTTTAGAACGAAATTGAGAAAAATCACTATAGTCGAGGACGATTTTGGGTATTAACTCATTAAGTTTATTATCAGCTATGTATAAATAGCCCATAACTTGTAATATCAAAACAATCATTTGAACATAAATGCTAAAGCAAGACATTCTTCTCCACTCTCCATGCAGTTGTGCTTATATTTATTCATTTATTTGCCTTAATTATCATACTTGTTAGCACACACGTACTGTGGAAATAGTCCAATGCTCAATATGTATTTTTCACATTAGTGTTTTAGAATTTATCAAAGTATCATTCGGTATCCTAGTGTATATCAACACAATATTATCAATTCTTTCCTAAAAGTAAATATTTCAAGAATGCATAACCATGACTTGTGACAGAAATGTTGGATTAATTAGTGCAATAACAATTTTACAGGGCAACACCTTCACTGGATAGTACCCTAGCTTAGCTTTTACAACACAAAACCATATTAATTGGCATGATCCATGCTTCATCTTGTTGTCACTTCCGCCATAAATGAATTCTTGATTTGATCTAGTCTTCTGGTGTGCTTCACTGCAATTTTACTGTCTTTGCACAGTGCACCTTAAAAACATAACCAAATCATCCTTCCCCAAAAAGACAATATAATGATAATAGATATTAGCTCTGTTTGGTAAAATAGTTAGTCTATCAGCCAATTTTGGCTTACTTGACCACTGTTAACTGTTTAAATTGGTTAAACAATCAATATGAGTGTTTGATTAATTAACTTTTTGTAATAATTTATTGCTCCAAAATGCTAAACTTCAAAACGCTACTCAAAGTAGCTTTTTCGATTAGCTTTTTGAGAAAGTCATTTTGTATATAATTAGCAAACAACTAATTTATCAAACACTTTTCTACAATCAGCTAATGCTATCAATTAGTTAAATTCACTAACCAAATTAGCTAACAACCCTTTACCAAACACCCTCATAGTTTCTCATCTGTGTTGAATATATTTTTTGAAAGGTTTTTTTTTTTTTTTAATAAAAAAGAGTAGAGTATTAGCCCATTAATGGTTGGGCCGAGCTCTTTTCATCACCTACAAGAGAATGGGCCGAAATTGTAGATAAACTCATATATGGGTCGGGTTATCAGGACCAATCCGAATTATTGATTGAATTTGCTCCGTATTATCCAAATTCCGATATGGATAGATCCGTTTAACAACCCTCTTTGACATCGCATCTTCAATTCCAGAACTTCCCATTCCCCCGTGAACTGTCGTGAAAGTTCTAGCTTCATCGCAAAACCACTCGCCGGTTTCATATACGCGGCTACCTGTCCCCAATCTCGACTTGTTTCTTTGGACCGGATCCTCAACAGCTGCTACGATTTTGAGGTAAATCGTCGTTCCCCTTGAAGAGTTCATTTCAAATTTGATAGGTTAGGATGTTTTACACTACAGCTGATGTTCTATTATGAAGTTCTCAAGCTATTGATATAGATTCTTAGGCCTTAGCATTTGATTTATGTGGGTTTTTGCAAATATGGAGACATGAAGTAGTTAATCTTAGGAGGTTGTCCCTTCCACTCTTACTAGTTACTCTAACCGTATGAATTGCTTTTCCTCGCGGAGTGTATAATTTTTCTGGACTCGTATGTGTTTTCCTATGATTTTGCAATGTCTTGCTTGATTCAGTTGTTTGATCTGGTTGCTTTGTTTAGAAAATGAAACAACAGTGCCAACTATGAACAATGCACTGTTAAGAATCCTGAATGCTTGCCAGCTATTGTCACAATGTCACATATTTGATCATTGGTGACTTGAATGACTTGATGAAAGTTATAAAAAGACATTTGGGAATTTTACAGTTCAATCTGGCTCAATGGAGCTTTACAAGCTCACTCTTTACTTTCTTCCCTGTCAGTCTGTCTTTCATGTGGTGAAAAGCATGCATAATGGAATTCGAAATGTAGTTGGTTTCATGACTTGAAGAATGTTGATTGTCATAAAAAAATAAAAATAGATGATAAGTATTACGGGTTAAGAAATGTCGTTCTGCCGAGTATTGGGGGTAACAAGTACTAGACACTAATATTAGGAAATCAACAAGAAGCTAAGCAAACGATAACAAGTTGTAAGGCTAAGGTAACTAAACAAAGTAACAAAAACGCATATGAACAAGAGGTAAACATGAAATAAAGAAATAGGACTCAAGCTAAGGGGTATTATCATGTAGATGCTTCAACAACCTATGGATTAGGGATAACAAATAACCAAGGAATCAAGCGGGAATGCACGTAGGTATCCTAGTCTAAAGCCACTTCCGTGAGCAAATATACAAGGATTAGAACAAGTAATTGTCTCACTCTCGGTTGTGTACCAATTCCAAGTCTATCAAGCACACAAAATATCTAAAGCCCCCAACTCCCCCTATTTTCATAGGAAGAAATCGGGTTTATGCAAGGGGTTGCTCGAATTCATCACCCAACTCTTGTTGAGGCAAGGAATCCTCCAAAAACATGCTAATGAATGTGTACTTCAAACATTAACAAGATATGAACAAAACACCCTCATAAACACATGAACCCTAGTTTGGAGTTCTACCCATATACAATAATCACAAACAAAGCATTAATAAAGAAAATACAACCCTAGCTCAAGTCCAAAAGCTATCTACTCCCACATTATAAGCATAAATAAAGGAAGAACACAAGTGGAATCATAAACATTGCATAAGAAAATAAAAGAAGTGAAAGAAAAGCTTCTCTATTGAGATGATGTGAAATGTTGAAGTTGAATCTTCTCCAATTCTTGATACAAGCTTGAGCAATGTGTTGGAAATGTAAATCTAAGCAAAAGAAAAAAAGAAAAAACTAAGAAAAAACTGTGAAAGAACAAACTCAACCTCCTAGGGTTTGAGTTGGGGACAAAAGCCAAATGAAAATGAAAGAACTTCTGCAATTTATACTCAGGGGTTCCACGAGGTAACGAGCCTCGTGACGGCAGAAAGAGAGGCGCACTGGATGAGGGTGTCACGGCGTGACACGGTGTGTGACAAGCAGCCGGCAAGCTACTGGATGCGAGGCTTCACGAACGTGCTGCTGCGTGGTTGGTGCAGTGTCACGAGCCGGGCTGCTGCGTGGTGGCTGGCGTGAGGCAGCGAGGCTAGCTACTGGAACATAGTTGTCACGTGGAACATTATGGCGTGGTAGTCTGCATGATAAGGCAGGAACTAGCTACTGGAAATGGAGTGCCATGAAGTGTGTCGCCGCGTGGTGGATGGCGTGATGGCAGCTTAGCTAGCTTCCTGGACATGTTTTTGCTCCAAACTTCCCTTCATATGCTCAAACTTGCCTCCAAAGCTCTCAACTCCATATTTCTAGCAAAATAACACAAAATAGTTCTAAACCTCATGAATTTTGGAATGATTAGCAAACAAAATGACCTAATATAAGGGGGGAAAATATGGACAAATAAACACTTATCAAATGTTTTTGAGAATTTTTTCCTCCTTTGTTTCTTTTATAATAAATTCTGCATTTTGTTTTCTTTTCACTGACAGAAATTTCTTGCAGGTTTTACATCAGCTTGGGTATAAAACGGTCTTGCTGGAAGTATGGCCAAGCACCATCCTGATCTGATCATGTGCAGGAAGCAGCCAGGAATAGCCATTGGACGGCTTTGTGAGAAATGTGATGGGAAATGTGTCATTTGTGATTCTTACGTTCGGCCTTGTACACTTGTTCGTGTGTGCGATGAATGCAACTATGGTTCTTTTCAGGGTCGCTGTGTCATCTGTGGAGGGGTTGGGATTTCTGATGCTTACTACTGTAAGGAGTGTACTCAGCAGGAGAAAGATCGTGATGGTTGTCCTAAAATTGTCAATCTTGGAAGTGCCAAAACTGATCTCTTCTACGAGCGTAAAAAATATGGTTTCAAGAAAAGATGATTGCTGCTCCAAAGAAATAATGCCAAATTGCAATTTCATTCAGTGTTTACCATTCTCTTGTCATGTAGTTTGTACTCTTAATTTTAATGTGGTAGACATCCAAGAAAGAAAGTTAGTGATGTGTTTAGCCAACCTTTGGTTTACTATGATCTTTTTTTCTGTCAGTACCGAGTGGGTGTCCTATCGTGGTTTTGCAACACGAACTAGAAACACTGGCCTGAATTGTCTTGTTGGTTGTAATTCTTAAACAATTTGTAGGTATGAAATACATTATCTATAACATTTGCTCTAGCACTTTAGCACATTTTTATAAGAACTTTGCATGTTTTGCACAATCATTGCTAGTTCCACTTGCTTGCTTCATGCCTAGTCTACTGTTACTAATTACTGTATTTACTGTTTTCAATATCTATGAATACATATGCTTTAGAAATGTTTGTCTTTCATTGGCTAAATGAGTATTGAGATGGATACACTATATGAATGTTGCTGTTAATTTGCATATACTGATGAGGAGTTGATCCAAATGTGCATTTGTAGTTTTTCTAACAGGTAGTTGACTTGTTGCTATCTTCATTTTGTAACTATCAGATTTATGAATGTTTGATAACTGTGTGACACAAAAGGAGTAGTGAGTTTCCAAATTTGCATTTCTCATCAGATAGGAAGATGAGCTGCCTTTTGTGTTTGAATTTGATACAGAAACAGGGTTACCATATTTGGATAATTGGATGCCAATTACAGATAAATGTCTATTCTTGTTGACCATTATTGTACCATTAAGTGGCGAGTGACATGACTTGCATTCTTTATTTGTGTGTGTGGTGCAGATGCATTTGTGGGCTGCAGAAAGGAGATTTCAGTGGGAGTAGCAGTGAGACAATAATCCACTATCTACACTGGTCTTCTTGTATGTTCTGCAGTTCATCCATATCATAAGGACACTCTTGACGGTCATGGAGTAAGATTTCGGACAAACTCTATCTAAAACCACTTTAATTAGTGCTTCATAGCTTCTAAGATGTTTTATCTTTTTCATTATTGAATATTGATATCTAAATCTTACCTGAATCATTAGAACACTATTTTCTTCTCCCCTGCATATGTTGTTAATAGAAACTTTATTGATGGTGAATTCAAGGCCCAACTGTTTACATTTGTAGAACAGCAAAATGACACTAAGGTGTTTTGCATGCATTTTATTGGCCAAACTGATTTGTGATTATTTTCCATGCATTAGAGTTTCTATGTGAAAATCATTGTGCTATTTATTTATTCTTTGGTCTGTTTCATTTTTTATATTTGAGCATGTACTAAAATGGAGTCATCAGATATTAGGGAAAATTGCATCTTTAGTCCTTAAGTTATAATCAAGTTTCGACTTAATCTTTAAGTTTTGACCATATCCGGGTTTAGTTCATCGGTTATGAGCGAAGTGGCGAGTTTGGTCCCTAGTGTTAGTATTCCGTTTGCAGCTAACGGAAAACTTAAAAACGATATAATAATTTAGGGGTAAACTCGGAATTTCATATTGTTATCCCATTCTTACAGCAGCCATTTCTTCTTCTATCATTGAGGGAAAAATTTAGGTTTTTTAAATCTCTGTTTTGCCCTTATTTTTTCTATTAATTCCTTTTGTATCCGTTTTGTCTAAGGTTATTTTTACATATTTTGTTAAATACTTGAACATAAATTATATATTACTAAAAGTAAATTATATCATTTGAAACATTTTATCAAGACGATTAAAACAAGACTAATATTAAACATAAATTAATTAATTAAAAAGTAAACTAATTACATCTAAAATTAAATTATACTAAATATTATTATTTAACTCACAAATTATATTTTATATTAAGCTAATTAAGTTTGAACTAATAAACTTTTAAATTTTGAGAAATCAAATTATTTTAGTGTAGAATAATATTTGGTGTAATGTGTTGAAAATGAAAAAAAAAAATTGGTGTGAGAATATTTTTTTTAATGTGATATTTGGTGTAGATTTTTTGTGTTTTGTTGTAATTTGAGTTGGAGACTTGGAGATGGTCTTAATTAAATGGATGAATTTTGATGGTCCAATTAAATCTCGGTGCACCAGGCTGTATATGATGTGAAAAAGGTGAAAAGACTTGTGTACTTTGAGAGTAAAGCAAGTGAAAAGCACATGAGTTTGAGTGGTTGAACCAAAAACAAAGGCCAATAAGTATGGGCTGTGTTCATACATGGAACCAATTTAATGTATGGAAGGAGCATATATATATATATATATATGTGTGTGTGTGTGCAAACATCCATCAACTCCAATTCTCAGCAGTTATATAATAGCCAGGTATCACAACCCCCTTATTATAAATTAATACATAACATCCTATCCTCTTCTGCTTATCTGCATACCATTCAGCCTTCACAATCCATCATTCATATATACAACACAGAGGGAGGTGAGGGAGATGGGTGCTGGATTTCGCCTCTGCATTTGCCTCATCTTCTTTGCATCTGCCATCATCTCATCATCTTCATCATCATCTGCCAGAAACACCATTTCAATCCCACCAGGTACACATATATACTCCATCTCTTTCAATCATATATATATATGGTTTTTGTTATGCACTTGCTCATCGATATGATATGCTTCATCAACTGCTTAATTAATCATGTTCTTAATTGACACTTTATTAACTTCAATTCGTAAATTTTAACTGTGTGTGCGTCAGTGTGTGCGTCAGTGTGTGCGTCAGTGTGTGCATGCACGCATCAAATACATTGCACTTCTGATCTGCTTTTTTAATTTGAAAGAGGTTTCTGTGTGGATCAGAGTACACTTTGTACTGTGTAGCAAGTTGTGCATAGAGTATAGGACGGAAAATATTGAGAAATAATATGCAGTACGTATAGGTCGGTCACACCAACTCCGTTAAAGTCAAGCTTTCACACTTCACATGCTAAGCTACTTATTTAATTACGTACGTACAAGCTAAGGAAAAGGGAATCCTTTGCTCTTCAATTCATGTAACCAAATTATATATATATATATATCATTGTAGTCCGTGCATTATCCAGTTGTTCATACAACCATCGGACGGTCCCGTGCACAACATACACATAGAGATCTCAAAATTAGTATTATATTATGTACTATATATCATAATGAAACAAGATTCAACTTTGGCGTTGGGAAGACAAGTTCACAAGTGCAAGCAATACTATATATAATATGACAAATAAATAATTCATTCGTATATTAATTATTATTATTTTTATTGTTTTGGTTGTAGGGGACGAGTTGTTAATGGTAGAAATGGAAGGAAGGTCTATGGAAATGAGGGTGGATGATTACGGGGAAGCTACGGCCAATCACGGCCACGATCCCCGGAACAGAGCGGCCACCGGCAGCCGCAAAACCCGCGACACCCCTTAAAACCATTTGATTTGCCGATGATAACAGGTGGCGATTTGAAGATTTTACTGATTACTCGAAGTTAAGTTTATTATTATACTTGACGGTAATAATGTTTACCGGATATATTTTATGTATTAGTAAACAAAAACAATTGTATTGCTATGATTTCTATACAATAAACAAAGTGTGTCCCTCTCTTGTTATATGAGGTCATCCTTTATACTATAAACCTGTAATAGTTACAATAATAATAGCAACGACCTCCTAATAAGTAAGTTCCCATCCATATCTCCTATCTTTGACAAGGCAGTGCTTTTAATGCGTAGACTTTTCTAACCGTTTCACATATTTTTTGTTCTTGACCATTGTTTGACTGCTTTGATGGGTTAGACACACCGGGTCAAATCTAGTACCTTGTCCAATATAATTATCCTGTCAATACTATTTATCATTGCTGCTCATGTACAACTTTTGTTACGATGCTTGTAGGCATATAATCAAACTTCTTTTTGAAATGTATTGCTCCTGATATACAAGATGTGGGACTATTTATAAGAGATTCAAGTTAATTATTTATAGTATTGTATGACATTAAAAACTAGTTAAGTATGTTTATTTATAGTAGTTTAGTTTAGATCTGTGAATCAGATAGTTCATTTCTTAACTAGGCAATATATTTTTATATTTGATTATTCATAATGATTCTCAAAGCCTGCGCTTATTATTTGTAATATTTTGTCTTTGAACTTGAATTAATATATTATCCATTTGCATAAAAACATGTTATTATAACATATTGCAAGTAGCTTGTAATGCCATAATATATAGTCATGTGATTGACTGTGGTGGTTGGTCGTATAAGTATACCATCAAGTGAGCGGTGCTTGGCCTAGACAAGTTGGCTAATTATTTTGTCAACCTAGTGAGCTTGACTAGGTCTCCAAGAAAGTCAACCTTAGGTTAAGACTAGATTTACTATTTTAATTATTAAGTCAATTGAAATATTCAAGTAATCTATTAAATTTGAAAGACTTCTACTACATGTACTTTCTAATCTTACTTCCTAAATTTTACTCCCTGATATGGCGAATTATGATAAGTTATTTTTTTTCATGTGAGTCTCAGTACAAGTGTCTACATCAAAATTTTGTGTGGGAGTACAAGTTGGAAGTACAAAAGGGGAATACATGTAGCATTTTCCAATTTGAAAATAGGGGCGGAGTTACCCCTTGGAATAGGGGTCCTACCCTCTCCCACCCACCCATTTCTTAGTAGATATATATATATATATATATATATATATATATATATATATATATATATATATATATATATATATGTATATATATATATATATATATGTGTGTGTGTGTGTGTGTGTGTGTGTGTGTATTATTATAATATGAATAAATTACACTTTTGACCCCTTTCTAATTTTTTATTTGTTTTTTAAAGTATTATATATATATATATATATATATATATATATATATATATATATATATATATATATATATATATATATATTAAATCCAAATTCATTAAATAAAAATAAATCAATCAAATTCACAATTTTTTTTTAATTAATTTATTTGTTCTGTCAAGATTTCAATAAGGGGTATTAAGTATCTAATTTTATTTTTTTTTTGAAAATATTAAGTATCTAATTTAATTTCATTACTCTCTAAATTTGAGGCATATGTTTTAGTTTTATTAGTTGATTAATTAATTGGTAACTTATTGTGTGTTTTTATTATTTATTTACACTCTTAGGATATACATTTGCTAAGTTAATTGATTAGTTTTGAAATTTACAAAAATTAATAATCATTCTTTACTTCGTAATCTTGATTTTCGTCTTCATCTCTTAAATTTTAAAACATATATTCAATTAATCAGTAAAACAAATATCAATTTATTGTCAAAAAAGTGTGCACTAAATAGAATAATATTTATTTTTGTGTAATAGTTCACAAATCATAAGTTTTGCTCAGATTTACAAGTGCATGACGTGTGCAAAAATAAATCAAGATTTTTCAGTAATTTACAAATTAAAGCTATCCAAACATATATTTAAAAAAAAAAACATAAACGACATGGCGGCTGTTCATTTGCTCCGTTGAAGAAGATTAAGGCACTAATCATATCATGCAAAATCAACAATGGCCGCCCTAGAATTTGAGATTATAAACGAATTTTAAAGTAAGATATTCCAAAACGGTTGGATTATAAAAAGATAATCTGTTACGTAAGTAGGAGTGAAGTTCAAACTTCCAAGCCGATCGAATTGTCTGTACATACGCAAATGTGAATGCGTTTTCCAAGTATGGAAATTGTCGTGACGTAGAAAAACTCGGACAGGTCACAGGTGACGTCACTTAGTCGTCTTCCCGAAGAAGACCCTATGAAGGAAACCAAAGGTCTACTCGCGCGAGTTGCAGAAGTCAACCACTGCAGTAATGTCTTGCGCTTTTTTCTTCACATTCAATTGCGTATACGGTTGCGAAGTTTTCGGTCGGTTCAACGCGATCCTTGAATCATTGCACGCGGTTGACCTCGCCGGCGAATCATGTCAACGCTAGTTGTAGTGGAATCACTCCAGGGCTTGCTGTCGGAGTTCGCGGAAGCCGGCGACGAGCACCAGTACGCGTGGGAGAACGCGCGGCGGTTCTCGGGGTACGTGAAGCGGCTGCAGCTGGTGCTGGGGCAGCTGCTCCGGACGTTGAGGCCGGAGGCGGATGTTTCGGCGGCCGTGCAGACGTCGTTGAAAGGAATCGCCGGCGATCTCAGGCAGGGGGCGGAGGCGCTGGCGGTTTACAGGCGTAAGAGTAAGATTTTCGTGCTGATTAACTGTCAATCGCTGCGCGCGTCGCTTCAAGAGCGCACGTTAGCCATCGGCGGGTGGTTGGCGCTGCTCGACTCCGCTCTCGCCGCCATTCCCGATCTTCAGAAGAAGATTGCCGATCTTTCTAGAGAAATGAAGCAAGCTCAATTCAAAGTAATCTCTCTCTTTCTCTCTATGCATTTTGTTATTTTTGTTTTCTTTATTATGTATGTTACATGTTTGCATTTATGCATAGCTGAAATTGTGAAATGGTTAAGGTGACAGAGAATGAGGAGAGAGTGTGCAGAACCCTGCAGAAAGAGGGGCAGAGAAAGCAAACCTGCAAGGCAGTGCAGAGTGCAATAGTGATGGATTTAGCCAGAGCCCTAGGAATTGATCTGAGTAACTATTCGGAGTTAATAGAGGAAGTTAAGCAACTGAAAAACGATTTAGGGAGCTCGAATTCGATCTCAGAAAGGAGGATTTTAATGTCCCTGGAGAAAATTGTGGATAACTGGTCACTTCACCTTGACATCCTCACTCTCAACTTGGATCTCGACTTTGAAGATGAAGCTCACATTTCACCCTTCAAGAACTTCTTATGCCCCTTGACTAAGGAGGTCATGAGGGATCCGGTGGTGTTGGAGTCTTCCCAAACATATGAGCGAACTGCCATTCAGTATTGGTTCGAGAGGTGTTTGGAAGATGGCCGTGATCCTACTTGCCCCGTTACTGGACTAGTCCTCAAGTCCTTGGAGCTCAAACCAAACATCGGATTGGCTGGAGCAATCGAGGAATGGGTTAATAGGAATGTCGATATCCAGATTAAGTCTGCTGTGCAGTGTTTGAGCGAGGATCCTCCTGCTGTGAATTTGGTTGAGCGGGCATTGGACAGCTTGTATAAGATCTCTGAAGAGCATCCGTCCAGTAGATGTAGAATCCGGGATGCTGGAATTGTCCCCCTCGTTGTTAAGCTGCTTAAAAATTCCTCGAAGAGTATAGGATCTTTGCTGAGGAGTAAAGCTTTCATGGCCTTGCTTACCATGTGCAAGGACGACGAATGCAAGGTGATTTTCTTAGTCTCTTACTCGAATTTCATCAAATTGTTAAAATCATTACTTGACATTAAAGTTGGTAATTTCTTTCAGAAGATAATGCTCGAAGAGGGGACTAGTAGGTTGGCTATACACGGCCTGATTGGGAGTTCAGACAAAGAGAAGGAATACGCGACAAGATTGTTACTTGAATTCTGTAACGATGAAGCTTACTGTAGACGAGCTGCTTCAGAAAAAGGGGCATTGGTTCTTCTGTCGGGAATGGCAGATGATCTCGAGAATCCTTCGTTATCTCACTTAGCTGAGAATGTGCTAAAGAGGATGGAAAATGTGGAGGATAATATAAAGCATTTAGCTGCAGCAGGACGATTTGATCCTTTAATAAAACGCTTGTGTGAAGGTATGTCTCGGATGCTACCTCCCCTACGAGAAATTATAAATGAACAGATCATATCGCTATTGCCATTTTTGTACAGTTCCATGACTCCATCCACCATTTTTGAGCAAAACTTCTTGAAGCAAAAATGTGTGTGTTAATAAATTTCCAGCCTTCACCAACTGCTCAAGTGGCACTACTCTGAGTCTGTTTGGCAGAGCTTATTTTAAGCTACTAATAAGCTATAAGCTCTGCTCCCAAAATAAGCTAGTGCCTTAAAATAAGAGCTTATTTTGGAACGCTACCTTATGTCAATTCTTTATCTTCTTGTTAATGCATTCTAACAAGCCACGTATTTGGCCAGGCCCTGATGATGTGAAAGTTGAGATGGCGTCTATTGTTGGCGAAATGACCTTGGCAAATAGGAGTAAAGAACAGATTGCTCGTCAGGGAGCTAAAACGCTTGTTGAATTGTTAGCAAAGCCAGAAGGAAGAATAGCGAGTCTGAAAGCTCTGTACAATCTGTCAAGCTTGGATGACAACGCCACCCTCCTTGTTGATTCCGGGGTGCTTCCATCTCTTACAGAAATTCTTTTCGAAAACCAGGTTGCATTGCCCGAGTTGAAGGAGTTGGCTGCATCAATCTTGGCAAACTTAGTGTCAACTCCCGGACACTGGGAATTAGCATCTGCTGATAGAGCGGGCAATACAATGCAGTCTGAATCAATGGTTTTTGAGCTCACGAGTCTCCTTCCACTTCCACTTTCAACTCCTCGATGCCAAGCATCTCTTCTCCAGATTCTGTGTGGCATAGTGTCCTCTCCCCAGGCCTCAGGTATTCCCGATTGACTACTTTGGTTGGTTACCATTATACGTTTTCAAGCTTGTGAAACGATCTAGTCCATTCGATATTGAATCTTGTACATTTGATTTTATTCATGATTTGTACATTTGTATATGTTGTGCAGAATCCACTACAGCTCATATAAAAGCTGGAGATGGTATCAAAGTGATAA